AGACGCCAAATGCAAAATCGAAGTGGCATGCTCCAAAGGTTTGCAGTGGATTTTTTTTTTGTTGCCTTTTCCTGATAATAGACTCAAAACCGGTGGTAAAACAAGTGGAAGAATTACAAGTGCTTGTCCAAGAACTCGAGGTTGAAGGTATGTTCTTGAATACCAACTTTGTGATCAATTCAATAATCGAGAAGCTACCTTCATCTTGGAAGAACTTCAAACTATATTTGAAGCATTTGACAGTGGAGATCATATTTGAACAATTGCTCCTCAAAATCCGAGTGGAAGAGTTGTCATCCTCATTTACCATGGAAGACTCTCCAACTTTATCATTGCTTTTACCGGATAATATTTTTTACCCTTGTCATTTTCATCCGGAAAGATAAATGACCCGGTAAACACTTATCAGATAAATGTTTAATAAACAACCCTAAATCTTGTCATCAAAACGCACCATAACGAATTATTTAAAACCATGTTCTCTTCTTCAATATGTTTATATATTGTAAATGTTCTAATCTTAAATAAGCCATTTCTTTTAATCAATCCAATATATGGTGATACTTTGTTGTTAATCCTAGCTTTGTGTTTTCATAGAGATTAAAGACAATTAAAAAAATGGTTGCATTATCAGCCAACAACCACTTGCATAACGAAACAAACGTTTGTTTTCAACCGGCACCTATCTTTGGCATCATCTGCAGCTTGCACTTTTAAACTTTTATCCCCGTCATTAACAATAAATGCTCTTATGACGATAATCCCTACTCCATTTAGACGGGGTCTCTTTTCGGGAACTAATGTATGTTGTCAACTATATCTGGTCTATTTATATATATATATATATATATATATATATATCATATTTTGAAGGTTATTTGCATGATTTATGTACCTTTTCGTTCCCTTTTTCATTTCGTGATTTCAATTGAACAACCTTTATTTATTTGGATTACAAGACAAGAACCTTTTAACTAATCATGATATGATGGTTAATGTTTTAGATTTGACCAATTTTGGCGAATCTTCACAATCAAAAAAGCCTAAAGTTAACTAGAAAAAAGAAAATGAGGTGAAAACATTTAACGAATCTTGTTTGCATGAGATCTCCGTAAATGGACGAGAAGAAGGTAGCCTTAAGGCAGTTTCTTGGAAGAATGTAGCAGAAGTGCTACAAAAGAATCATAATTTTGTTGTTGAACAACGACAAATGAAAAACGATTATGATTACCTCAAAGGAAAGTATGGAGCATGGGCAAAGTTAAGAAACAAAACAGGTAATGTTTATGATGCATCGACAAACATGTTTAATTTGTCAGAAGAGAAATGACAGATAGAAATGAAGGTCACATTCTATCTTTTTCTGTTTTGAATTTTCTTAAATTCTTCTTTTAGATATACTTATAAATCTTCTATAAACCGCAAAACAAATTTGTTGAGAAGTTGCAGATTGCATCTCTTCCCTTTGCTCACCTTTGTATTCAATTGTTTGATGGTGTGGCTTCCACTGGTGTTGGAACTTGGGGACCACCTGCTACTGTTCCAAACCCTTCTAGTGTGACACCTAAAATTGGTGAAAATAAAACACACAAGACTATTATGATCTAACACAAGAACCACTTTCTTCAAAAGAAGACATTGTTTTTCTTTCCCAACCTCAAATGAAAAATCAAAGAGGAAAACAATATTCGGTAAATTAGGATGATTTAGCAAGGGTTGTGACACATGTTAAACAGATCTTGAACAAACCACCGGGGGAGGATGAGATGGATCATTGCATTGATAAGTTGGAAACACTTGGGTGGGAGCAAACTGCATTATATGACGTAGCACTTTACATATTCAGCCAAAGCATCGACTATAAGAAAGTTTGGTTATGCTTGAATGAGGAGAGGTGTGAGGGGTGGGTTAAATTTACAGGTGGTAAGCTTGATCTATTTTAGTTTGGTGATGTTTTGTTCTGTTTTGAACAATCTTTTTTAGACGATCTTTTTTAGGATGTATTATGATTGATATAATATGAATAAATGACTATTTTAATTTGGTGGAATGTTTGTTTCAAGTTATTGATTTTCATTTTTTTATATTAGTTGTTTAAACTTGATGTTATATTTATAATATCTTCAAAACATAAGTGATGTTATTTTGTGTTTTATATTTACAAGGTCATACATGGATGAAAATGAAATTGTTCTGATTGTGCTTATTATATATTGGTATTTGAGAAGAAGAGCTTCAACATGAATAGAAAGGGTGAGAGATAACATTTCAGTTTTACAGGACATGCGTATGCACAAGAATTACTAAATCGATCCAATATGTAATGTCATGAATTGATGTGTTTATCTTATGATGCCTTTATAATGCTATGCGATGATTTTAAACAAAAAAATTGGTTGCAATCAAGTAGGCAAATGAGTGTTGAAGAGAAGATGGCGATGTTTTTGACAATTGTTGCTCACAATGAACGCTTTAGAATGGTTAAACGTAGATTTCAACACTCTACACATACTATAATTTATTGTTTTCACGAAGTATTGAGAGGGATGATGGAATTCACAAGAGAGGTAGTAGGGCCAACATCGATTAATGGAACACCAAATACATCACAGAGATTTAGGCACCTCAAATAAATATTTTCGGTATGATTTATGTTATTGATTTGATAATTTCTAAACGTTTTTTTATATTTTTTACAAGTTTCTTATAGTTGATGTTTCTTAAAGGGGGTTATAGGTGCATTAGATGGAACCCTGATACATGCAAATCAACAAACAAGGTATAGAGGAAGAGGAAGAGGGGAATGCTACCAAACTGTTTTAGACATTTGTGATTCTAATATGATATTTATGTTTGTATGGGCTGGATGGGAAGACATTGCACATGATTCTAGAGTATTGAGGGAAGTTGCATTTAACCCAACTTCGGGATTTCCGTTTCCCTCATCAAGTAAGTATCATTTTCTTAACATAAAAAGGTTATTATTAATCCATATTTTTTAAGTTGTAGATATAATTATAGATAAATGTTATTTTTGTGATGTCGCATATAGTTGTACCGTAGATTTATGATTCCGTGTTGCAATACGATGTATTAGTTAGCAGATTTTCGACGTAGACATGCATTAACAAATAAAGAAATGTTCAATCATGCTCGTACACAACTTAGAAATGTTATTAAGTGTGCATACGGTGTCTTAAAATCAAGATTTCCAATCCTGAAGCAATTGAATCCTTATCCTTTTCCAATACAGAAAGATGTGGTGATTGTTTGTTTCGCGATTCATAACTTTATAAAGAAATGCAATATACAAGACCATTTTTTTGTGGAATACGATAAGAACACCATGTTTACCACCGATAAAGAACAACATGAAGTAAGCAATGAAATAGAAGTTGATCAAATGCAGTGGAGTTCTCAAGACAACAAATATATGACTAGTTTGCATGATCAGATTGCAAATCAGTTATTGTCTAATGTTTCAAATTAAGATTTGTGCGACAATTATTATGTTTAAATTCAATTTATTTTCCTGTCTAAATATATTTCAATTATGAAATTCTGTAATTTGTCATTTCAACAATTATTCATACATAACATTTGGTAAATAGTTGCATTAGTTTAAACACTTCATCACATATAGGGTTATAATGGTCATCTTTTTTATTAGTCAGCATCAAATCAAGAATATTCGGTAAACAATTTTTTTTACAAACAACACTTACTCCAGACAAAAAGATACTTACTCTAATTAGACATCTTATTTCGTACCACGTTTACCAGCTATTCTTGATAAACAGCCCTTAGATCTTGATTTGATACTATGTGCATGGGAGAATTCAAATTTTGGGGTATCCCAACATAAGAGAATAACTATTGTATATTTCTTGGTTTCCCACTTTATTTTTTTAATTGTTTTATTATATAGTTTTTAACACAATCATACAAAATACATCTAATTAATTAAGTAATATTCACATTTCAATTTAGAAATAAAACTTAATGAAGTTAATCAAACCGTAAGAATGTTGCATACGATGCTATTTTGATGGCCAAAATAAATTAAAATCCTGCCTGATAAGTTTAGTGAGAATTGTGACTTTTACAGTTGAATGCTTAACTGAGAAGTGTTTTAGTAAACTGCCCAAAATGGATTCAGACATTCAGTGACGTGTTCAAATGGATTCAGATCACGACGTTTATATCTTTCAGGCAGGTAACGTCGACTGGATTCACCCACCAACACTTTCTTTTGCCCATCTTGGTAAAATTCATAAATAGATAATTCATTAAATATAATTATAAAATATGGTTAATTTGATCAAAATATGTCGCATTTTCATGCATTCTCATATATAAACAATGTATTTAAACATCTGAAATGTTACATCTAAAATATCAACACAAAACTGTTAAATAATAATCGAATCAAATAACGTTGCTTAAACCAATTTGCCTCTTAAAATAATCACTACATGTACTTTTCACTACAACGAACGTGGTTTTATAGGACGCTCATGTTTAACTGTCTTAATAAAATACTTTAGGTGACTAAAGTTTTATATGATCAAACTATAAAACGTCATATGTAAAAGTGTTACAATAGATTTATAGGACGTTTTTGGACATTTTAATAAGTTTTTTATAACGCTATTAAAATAAAGTGTCATATTAGCAAAATCTTATAGAACACTTTTGAGAAGTATTCTATAATTAAACCTATCTTTTCACAAGACACTTTTTTTAAAAACAGTGTTGTATAAAATAACTAATATGTCCTAAAAACCTGTTGTAACACTTAAAAGCGTTTTATAAACATATTGTAACATTTTTAAATAAGACACTTTTTGGTAAACTAAAATACTGTAAAATATTTTACTATAAAACCAAATTTGTTATAGTGTTTGTGCACCATATTGGGTCGCTAATTCATCGTCTCGGTTTTAAATCAAGAATATAAATTTAAAGATGAAAATAAATATATACGAATTTGACCCAAAAAAAAAAGCACCCAAAGCTTAAAAAGGTATTGGAATAAAACGATAAATCAAGAAGCTTTGTAACCCTAATTAATAAGTAACTATGAAATATGAATGAGAGAATTGATTTAGGAATTATCACTTGTACCCTCACAAATACTCTCCAAATGAGGTCTCCACACCCCGGCACGCCCTCTCTTCCGATCCCTTTGCGTAGAAACGACCTTCTCGGACAAAATCTCCGTCAAATAACGATCCGATAACGAACCACCGTTATCATTGTTCACAACCACTACCTCTTTCTTCTTTTTTCTGATCTTGGAACGAGGAGGAGGAGGAGGAGGAAGAGGAGGAGCTGGCATGAGAAAGTAAATCTTCCCGCGCCTGAGCTCAGCGTCCGGGGGAAGAATCACGATCTCCGGACAACTGACTCTTCCGTCATCAGTATACGATGGGAAAGAGGGTTTCTTGAGGACATGTTTCGGGTATGCTTTCATGATGTCGGATGCGTAGACCGTGCCACTGATTTCCTCAACGCGGCCGTTGGAGTGGACGATTCGAACGACGTCGAGTGATCCACAAGGAAGAATGCATGATATGCAGCATTTGATGGTGTTCTTCATGTTGGTTATTTAGCAATGGTTTTAGTCATGGGGAGAAAAGGGTGAGAAGATAGAGAGAGAGAGAGAGAGAGAGAGAGAGGAGTCTAATGGCAAATGGTTATAGTTAATTCTTTTTTTTTTTTTTACCAAAGATGATGATTTTGATATTATAATGCAAGCTTTTTAAGGTGGTCCCTTTGAATTATTTTCTTTTTAATTTATCCAATTCTCCTGCTCTTTAAGGAATTAATTAATAAAAGTTACTCATTCCTTAAGAATAATTGAAACTAGTGGAATATCATTTTTATATGGTCATCATCCTTAGTTGTTTTCCACAAATAGAATATATATATATATATATATATATATATATATATAGGGTTGGGTTGGGTTCAAATAAAACCCACTCAATTTGTAAAAATCGTTTGTATTAAAAAAGTGTCCTAAAAACTTGTTAAAACATTCAAAAACGTTTTATAAACTTATTGCAACGCTTCTAGATCGGATCCTTTATTTTATTTTTTTTTCCTATAAATTGAGTGTCATAAAATAGTCTATTAAGACGTTTTAAAATTGATGGTATTTTATAAACCTAATATTGTTATAGCGAATATAATTACCAAATAAAAAGAGATTGAATGATTCAGGGGTGTTTGTTGATTGGTCCTAGTGATAAGTAGGATCATTGTATGTGTCCCCAAGAATGGTGTGAAAAGGGTTGGAGGCAAATGGGGTGGCTCATGCAAGGCCATGATTGATATCTGCCACAGTGGAGGGAAGTGAGCCACGTGGATGAATGGTAAAGAGACAGGTGTCAGCAGTCGGTTAAATGATGGGGGTGGGGGCAAAGTTGTTGGGTGTTGAAGTGGAGAGAAATAGAAATAGAAATGGAAAAAGGGGAGATCTGGTTTAGAGAAGCGATCGCTTTTTGAACATCTCAAAGCAAGGTCATGTGGGTGTAGCTTTCATTGGAAAGTGAAGTGTGATGGATGGATGGATTTCTCTTGTCCATTGTTACTTGTTTTGACTTGTAGTCAAGTGAAGCTACTTGTTGGCTTTTGCTTATTAATACAATGTCATATATATAGAGAGAGATGAGTTGGTTATTATATAACTCATGACATTTGTGTAATCAATACAACTCAATTTCATTTGATTAATATGTGATTTCATAGAATTTTTGATTGTTTCATAATATAAAATATTGATTATAATTAATGAACCATATTCATCTTCTATAAATATTCAAATCATAATAAATGAACTCTCATCATTTCTATAAATATCTCAATTTATTGGGTTGTATTGGTTGTTCAAATGCGACAGGTTGTATTTGAAACAAACTCTCTCTCTCTCTCTCTCTCTCTCTCTCTATATATATATATATATATGTGTGTGTGTGTGTGTGTGTGTGTGTGTAAATTATTATATAAGAAAGAAAGTTATGATAAAAAGTATAATGATAGATCTGAACCCTTGATCACTTTTAATCACATGTCCATTCATGAATTATGTTTTAAAAAAGAATTGATTCGGTGCATCTCGGTATACCTCATTAGTGTTGACCAGGGGCGGATGGCCTATTGGGCTTTTAGGGGCCCTGCCTTATGGCTTTTTTTTTCTAGATAGTAGGATATGTTTGGTCCATGAGCTTGTAGTATACACAAAAATTGGGCGGCCCCTCCACTCTTGATCCACCGACATCGACGAGAGTACGAGAACAAGACGACAGTGAACATCGACGACGACGACAGGCAGGCCGCAGGCGGCGAACGACGACAGACAGGGCACCGACACTCAGTCCTCCCGCCTCCGGCAGTGCTCTTGACGACAGTAAGTACTTCTGTAACCTGTTCTCTGTTTCGCCTTACGTTGGTGGCTTTTGTGATGGTGGCAGCATCACCGATGGTGGTGTTTTACTCAATAAGCAGAACATACAGCAGCATTCCCTAGAACCATTTATGTGGAAATTAAGGTCTAAATTTAGGTGATTTAGGTCTAGATTTATGATTAGGTGATTTATTCTGTACAATCGAATCTTAACTGCTCAATTTTATTGTATGAAATTTGTGTTTGTTCTTTTGTGGGTTATCCGTTATGTGTATGTTGTTTAGTTTGATTTTTGGTGTATGATTGTATGATGCCTGCTATGAGCCAATATGAATTGAAGTTGATCGAGGCCATCTATTTGTCTTTTTTTTTTTTTGTACATGATGAGTTTTAGATTGGTCCATGGTGCTAGCTTGAAGACATTTACCTTCTTTATTGTGATCATAATGTAGATGAAGATGAAAACTCAATCTACCATTCATGGGTTTTTTAAAAGAAAGCATGCAAATTCTTCTTCTCAATATCCCGAAGAAACAACAAATGTAGATAATACCCCTGCATCTAGTATTCCGCCTATTGAAAACCCTTGCAAAAAAGCTCAAATTGAAAGTAAGGATATTGATCTAGGTACACTAGAACGAGACCCTGCTTTGCGTCATCAAGTTTATGATTATCCTATCAATCAACAAGATACAATTCGACGAGCTTACATGAATCTTGGTCCTCTTCAACCTACACTTTCTATGTTTCCAAAATCTGGACCAGAAACTCATAAATGTAGCTTTCAAGCTTCTTGGTATAAATTACATCTTTGTATTGAATATTCAAAGACCTTGGATGCAGCATTTTGTTTCCCTTGTTATTTATTTAACAAGCCATCTGGGTTTGGATACTATGATCAACAAGCATTTACCATAGATGGGTTTCGAAATTGGAAAAAAGTGGGTGGGAAAAAATGTGGCTTCTTAATTCATATGGGAACCGATTGTACATCTTTCCACAATGTTGCACAAAAGGGATGGGATCATTTATTTAAGGCGGCGCAAGATATACGAAATGTATTTGAGAAGTTCACAACTGAAGAGCGTGAGAAAAACAGATTAAGATTAACGGCTTCTATTTATTGTGTCCGTTGGTGTGCCTTTCAAGCAGTTGCATTTAGAGGCCACAACGAAAAGTCAGATTCGGTTAATAGAGGGAACTTTCTTGAAATGTTGGAGGCACTTAGTGAGTTTAGCACTGAGCTTAAAGAGTTATTTTGTCGTGCTCCTAGATATGCATCATATACATCACCGTCGATTCAAAAGGAAATTTTGAATCTTATATCAAATAAGGTGAGACAAATGATTTGTGAGGAGATTGGTGGTCGAAGGTTTTGTTTACTTGTTGACGAAGCAGGGGATGAGTCTCATAAAGAGCAGATGTCTCTTGTTTTGAGATTTGTTAATAAAGAGGGCTTCATTATAGAGCGTTTTTTTGGAGTTCATGTACGTGACACTACAGCACAAACGCTCAAGGAGGGAATCTATTATGTGTTGTCACATTACAACCTTGATGTCAAGTCTATTCGTGGACAAGGGTATGATGGTGCAAGCAATATGYGRGGTCARTTCAAAGGTTTGCAAGCCTTGATTTTAGAAGATTGTAAATACGCATATTATGTTCAYTRTCTTGCTCATCGGTTGCAATTGGCATTAATGGCCGCCTCTCAAGGAGTTGTAACACTGTGTAAGTTTTTTACAACATTGTCTTTTGTTGTCAATGTTGTTAGTGCTTCCTCTAAACGCACCGACCAACTACGAGATGCACAAATCGAGCAAATTGCATACTTGATTTCTGTTGATGAATTGGAGACCGGTAGAGGTCTCAATCAAATTGGTACATTACAATGAGCCGGAGATACTAGATGGAGTTCCCATCTCAGATCAGTTTCTAGCCTAATCAAGATGTTCAGTCCCACGTGTGAGGTTTTGCTCAAAAATTTTGAGGAAGGAACTGGGCCAATCAAAGGAGATGCAGATTCGGCATATGAGGCTATGATGACATTTGAGTTCATATTTGTCTTGCATCTTGAAAGAGAAATAATGGAGATCACTGATTTACTTTGTCAAGCTTTACAAAGGAAAGATCAAGATATTTTTAACTCATTGAAGTTAGTTGCATCTACCAAATTGTTATTGCAACTAATGAAAGATGAAAGCTGGGATGTTTTGCTTTGCCTTGTTAAGTCATTTTGTCAGGTACATAACATAATGATCATACACTCGAACATCGTTATCAAGTAAATCTTCCTAACTTGTCTTCTTCTCGACTTGTATTCTTGTCAAGTACGTAACATAGATATTCCTGACTTGTCTTCTTCCTACTTTAGCAGAGGGAATCGAGCTCGTAATGAGTATAGTGATCATACACTTGAGCATCATTACCGAGTGGATATCTTTTATGAAGCAATTAATTGTCAATTAATGGAATTAGATCATCGTTTCAGTGATGGTTCCATGGAGATGYTTYRTCTTGCTTCAACTCTAGATCCTAAAAATGTGTATGAGACTTTTAGAAGTCTTGATGTAAGACAACTAGTAGAGAAGTTTTATCCTGAAGATTTCAGTGATCATGAGAAAACAATTCTGAAAATGCAACTTCAACATTATGCTATTGATGTCGTTCAACATATAGATTATAAGCAATTGACATCTGTTGCAGAATTGGGTCAATGGTTGGTAAGGACTAGAAGAGAAATCACTTTTGATCTTATTTATCGATTAATAAGTATATTACTTACTCTTCCAGTTTCTATCGCGACAACAAAGAGATCATTTTAGCATTGAATATTGTGAAAACAAGAATACGGAATAAAATGGATGATGAGTTTCTAAATGACTCGTTACTTTTGTTTATCGAAAG